TCATAAATCACAGCACCATGTCAGATCTAAATATAAGAGAATCTTTCAATTGAATTCAGTTGAATTCAGGTTTATTTATATAGCGCAAAACACAATATCAGTCTCCTCAAGGTGCTTTATATTGTAAGCTACCTCCAATAATAGAGAGAAAAACCCAACAATGAGGGGACTCCCTATGAGTAAGCACTTGGCAACAGTGGAAAGGAAAAACCTACGTTTAACAGGAAGAAACATCCAGCGGAAAATGGCTCAGGGAGGGGCAGCCATCTGCTACAATCAAGTGGGGATAAAGGAGGTAGACAGGACAACAGACACTTAAACACATCATTGGTCAGGTCCAGTAGTTACCTGAACTAACCATGCCTGCTCGCGTATCTGACATTAGGTATGGTTTGTTTCTGCCTCCATTCACTAATAAAGGGTTAACTTTTGAAAGAGAATGGCAGAGTGAGGGAAAGATTTCATTTAAAGTCTTTTTTTCCGTTAGCACCTCACAAGCTCTTATACTTATTTAAAACACACACACACACAGTGTGAAAATATTAATCAGCCATGGTGGCATTCATATCCTCTGGCTGGCACCGTTTACCCCTTATCTGTATAATCCTATGATGCTGCTTACTAACTGGAAGCCTGTATTAGACCTGCCTGTACCACACACTAACATTTCCACCTCAGCTCTTTTTTCTTTATTACAATATTGCACTAGAACCTTTTTTGGCAGTTACACTGCAATTGTTGCTGGCAGACAACACCTTTTCCTTTCAAATGCCTAATGCCTATTTATATCGGTGTTTCTGATGTTTCACTTCCCCATCAAACAAGGCAACAATGCCAATACTGTAAGCTGCTTTCATTCATCAGCTGAGTGATAAATCCACCCAATAGTGTGTGGGTGGTATGGGCTATGTTCTCTGGGTGGTCATATTTGGGAAACGTGAAGTCCAATAAAGGTGTATAATTTGGAGGGCATTTTTATCCACCCTCTACCAGATGTAAACAAAATGTCCCGAGGTAAGCAGCTGTTGCAACACTAGATGGATACATTTACAGGCATTGTCTTCATATTCCCGGTTGGCGTGGAAGTCTTACATTTAACGAATTCCTCTGGTAACTCTTCACAAACGGAGCTCAGTGCTCCCTGAAAATTTCCATTTGGCAGAAGATTCACTTTGTGGTGCTCGAGCTCAGGAGGTAGCCGAGCTTTTGCCACGATGAATTTGTCTCACGTCTCGTGTGCTCTTGTTGAAATCGCCATGCCGACGGTTTCCTGAGGGTTTCGGCGCTGGTGTAACTGTATGTAACCGGTTAAACGGCTCAGCGAGACCCTTTGAGTGAGATGACTGACAGAGGGCAGCAGGGAAGAAAGAAAGGAGCGAATGAGTGTTCTGGCTTCTTGACCTCTTAGCATAAGAAGTCTTCTAAGTTCAAACTCCAGCGATTACAAGCTGAGCTGGTATTTAAAGTGGGCCTAACCCCTCCCAAACCTACCCCCACCCCCCTCGCCCTCTCCCTCGCTCCATTCACTTCAGGCTCGTGTGACTTGTGTGTGTGTGAGACAATGTCTGCGACTTCAGTATGAGAGTACATGCCACATGAACCTCAGTGTGTGTGTGTGTGTGTGTTGTCGTTTAGTAGAGTAGGTGGGCAGGGTCAGGGGTTGCTTAGTGGGGTTCTGGAGCCAGTGGGCCTTCTTCATTGTTCAGGCTGGAGCAGCCAAAGGGGGGCAACGAGTATTGATGCTGAAGGTATTGCCTGCTTACGGTAGGGGGTTAGCAATAAGTGTGTGTGTGTGTGTGTGTGTGTGTGTGTGTGTGTGTGTGTGTGTGTGTGTGTGTGTGTGTGTGTGTAGACCTTTTGCTGCAAGAGGAACCCACAAGGGGCGGGAAAGGGAAAGTAATTACAGATGATATAGGACCAAAGAGAGGAAATTGATTAAAGAAAATGGGTGACCAGGAAATAAGCGGGGATCTTTGTTTCCCCTTCAATTAAACTGAAATGTCTCAGTGGTCTCTCTCTTTGAGCTTCACATGGTGGAGCTGGACTGTGGGGAACCCAAGCAGAGTGTGTGTGTGTCAGGGGAGGCGGGGTGGACTGTGGGGGGATCTCCGTCAGGGGAGGAGGCCTTGCAGAGGTGATGCTGATGGATGCATGTACTTGCAGCATTTTTTGAGGAGAGCAAATATCCTCCATGCGTTACTTTAGTCACCATATTTATGAGAGGAAATTCGTTAAGTTGTCTTTTTTAATATCTATATTGCACAACAACAGTCACCTCAAGTGTATTACAAGGTAATATTAGATGGAGAACCTCCAGTCACACACAAAGGTATGCTACAACTCATAGACAGAAGCTGCTGTCCTTTTTTTTATGTTGTTGGGGGTTTTTTTTAAAGTAAAATATAATTACATACAAAAAAGGATATCACGTGCTGCATCAAAAACATAAGAAAACTGCAAAAAAAAGAAAAAGAAAAAAAGAATTGACTTCATGTCCAACCAAACCTTCGGGCCACCGCTCACGCTCTCTTTCTCGTGTACTGTTACTTCTCTGTAACTTGCTTGGCAAATGCGAGTATACAGTATGAATAGTTTTACAAGGCCAAGGGAGAAATAACAGTGAGGGGAGGCGGTGGTGGTGTGTGTGTGTGGGGGGGGCAAGAAAGAGAAAACAGGTTGTCAGTGTGGTTGAACAGCAAAATAGCATTTTCTCCCTCGGGCTCAGCCTCCACAGATGTTTCATTCAGGCCCCATGGCAGGGCCACTCTAAAAAGTGCTCCAGTCCGACACAATTCAGCCCCTTTGTGCGCTAAAGGAGAGAAGCTCAGCCCACTGTTTACTGCTCATCCACCCCCCCCCTCCTCTAACCCCCGTCCTCATGTTAGCAGGCGGAACAATTGGGGAGGGCCTTGCCCAGAGCTGGGGCGGTGTGGCAGGTCAACAGAATGGGCTGTGAATCCTGTGCCTCTGAATCCTCTGGGTGGGTGGTCCAGCTCTCTCCCCTCTCCGTGTCTCTCACACACACATGCCCTCTCCTCTCCTCCTCTCCTCTCCGCGATTAGCTCATCCACTAGGCCGGGACTGATGCTGTTGCCTGGGCTCTGTGATGTGGCGATAGGTGGCCCAGAGAGGAAGCCAGACATGGGTTTTTCTGCAGGATTAGTGGGTCCAGAAGAGACCCGGTCGACGGGAGGGGGAGGGGGGCGCAGCGGCCCACGTGGAGCCTGCCAGTGACTGGGTGGCAGTTAACGCTAATCCTGCTGCTGATTACCGCTGGCATGGGGGGAAATAAACAGTAATAAATGAACCCACAAGGCTGAGCACACATGCGCCTTCGCAACACAAGGCAAGTCAGGCTCACGCACTTGCACAATAGCGCACACATTCAGAAGCAACCAAAAACATGGTGGCATTACAGAAAGAAAAGATTGCTTTCGGTGATGGTATGGGTTGTCATCTGGTTGTATGACGAATGGCAACAAATACAGTCACGAGCTTCCTGGAGCTCGTGGAGATCGAGGCTCGTGGAGATTCAAACGTTAAGTTTTAAGTCACCAACAGTCCGAAAACCTCGAAGACATTAACATAGGACAATGTTAAAGTGCAAAATCAATCTTTCATCTCTCTTAATCAGCAAATAACCCAATCTTCCACTCTCACTATAATCAAAAACATCACTGTCAGACCACTGGACTCTGCTATTACCACAAACATGCCTTTACCCCCTTGACAAACTGCAGGAAAAACCTAACTTTTTTTTTTTATTCATGCATTTTGTATGCCCTTTTACTACATAATTAAGCTTCCATCAGAAAAGATGCACCTTTTTCCTGCATTATCCCCTTAGTCACAGTGACATCTAGTGAGCATAAGCCAGAAGTGACAATAATGAACAATTGGTGAAAAGGCTTATATTTAGAAACACACAGTTTCCCCAGAATAACACATGCAGGTGTTAACTGCTTGGAGAAAATACACCGAAACATAAGTTCACAGGTCTAAAGAGGTGAATCTGAAGTGAGATGTTCGCTCACAGTCGGCAACAGGTGTCACTCTGCTTTGTTGTTCACAGCTTTAGGTTTATGGGGAACAAACAGAGTTTTGTGGCAGCAGGTCTGCGAAGAGAGTCGCCTCTGAAGCAACAGAGCAACAACGTTTCTTCTCGTTTACGGCGTTTGAGCAACGCCGCTATCTCAAGTAATGTGGTCAGAGTTTTGGTTGATCCTCTTTTTTCTGTACAGGCATGCAATGCTCTGAAGCATTAAGGAAGAACCGCTGCATATGAAAGC